AAGTGACTAGCTCTTGCCAATAATACAATTTCTTTTTAGTATACGGATTAAAATCAAGACTAAGGTTTCTTTAATCTAGAAAACCAATTTTTTCTTAATTTAGATGTATTATTAGTTTTATTAGATTTAAGTTTTATCATGGAATCTACGTGTGCATATTCGCTTAATGCAAATGCATTATTTGGTTCAATTTCCAATGATTTATTTAAATCCGCGAGTGATTCTTCATATTTACCCATCATTCGATAAGTTGCTCCACGGTTACGTAATGCGAATGCATCATTTGGTTTAAGTTCTAATGATTTAGTTAAATCTGCAAATGATTCTTCATATTCATTCATTAGACGATAAGTTACACCACGTTCATTTAATGCAAATACATTATTTTGTTCAAGTTTCAATGATTTATTTAAATCTGCAAGTGATTTTTCATATTTATTCATCTGACTATAAGTTGCTCCGCGGTTACGTAATGCGAATGCATCATTTGGTTTAATTTCTAATGATTTATTTAAATCCGCAAGTGATTCTTCATATTTATCCATCAATCGATAAATTGCTCCTCGGTTACGTAATGCGAATGCATCATTTGGTGAAATTTCTAATGATTTATTTAAATCCGCAAGTGATTCTTCATATTGTTTCATTCCGAGATAAGTTGCACCACGACGACTTAACGCAAATGCATCACTTGGTTCAATTTCTAATGATTTATTTAATTCCACAAGTGATTTTTTATATTTATTCATCATGCGATAAGTATTTCCACGATTTTTTAATGCAAATGCATCATTTGGTTCAATTTCTAACGATTTATTTAAGTCGTCAAGTGATTCTGTAAATTTTTTCAAACAATAATATACTACACCACGGTTTTTTAATGCGGATAGATTATTTGGTTCGATTTCTAATGATTTATTAAAATCTAAAAGTGAATCTTCATATCTGTTCATTATGCAATGAATTTCTCCACGGTTTATTAAAGCTCTTATATTATTTGGATCGATTTCCAATAATTTATTTAGATCTAAAAGTCTTTTTTCATAATCACCCATTTCATCATAGTTTGATAGTGATGATGTAGGACTTTGCATTAAAATTCTCTCTGTTGAATCAGAAATAAACAAACAGCCTTGATCAACTAATCGAGTAGATCTATGAGTTTCTAATGTATTTGAGTCTTGAGTAATTCTACTTATATACTGTTTATCATTGGTAATTAAATTTTTTAGGTCTAAAAAGACATGCTGAATATCTGGTCGATTATCAGGATCATGTTGCCAACAATCTAGTTATTAATTAAAATTATTAGTAAAATTTCGTTAAAGATAAAATACAACAGATAAAATATACCTGAATAGATCTTGATATATGTGGACGGTGTTCCTTCGATATGAGTTTCTCGAGCACCATTTTTAATATCCACAATTAACGAAGCAAGCTGATATGGCTTAACATCATCCTTAAAAGGTGGATAACCGCTAG